ATGAAACTTAAAGTTTTATTTATACTGTGCAGCTTTATTAGAGAGACAATCTGAGTTACTAATTTTGCAAAATATGTTCTAGTTAGGGAAATTCAGTACAAGCCTATTCAGTACCTTAGTACCAGAGAACCTAGTTGGAAACTTCCTTTCCATACATTGAAATCTGTAACTCCATTTCTTTCTCATTTTTGAACCCTCACTGACCCTTAATTTGTTCCTAGGGTCCTCTCTACTTTGAGAACCACATTTCACTAGGTGTTATCATATATGGTTGTGTATAATTTTTATGTAATTAATTAGTTTACTCAGAGGTAGGCTATCCCTCTAATTTGATTATAAAGAGCTTGAAGACTTATTTCCATGTTCCACTATAGATACCACAGATCAGAATATGTTCTTAGCACATATGAAGGTTAATTTGAAGGTGTTATTGGTTCATTGATGAATGGGTGATTGATCATAAAAAAGAATATCTCAAAACTCATCTAAATTCTAAATCCTTCTAGATTAATATTAAAAATTATACTACTAATATAAGACAGGATAAAAATAACTCCCCAAATTGTAACTTGAGGTACACAAACATGAAAAAAGCAGGAAAGAGCTGAAATTAAAAGATATTACAAAATTAAATGACAAAGATATATATATATATATGTAATTTGCAGAGATAAAATATAAAATGTAAAAAAAACATTATACTATTACCAGTAATCAAGGGAATGCATATCATAATTATAATTCTACTCATCAAGAAAATAAGATAACACTCCGAGTTATATTTTCATTGGAAAAATTTTTCTTATTCCTGTATTTTTTCAAAAAATATGAAAAATCCTATTTTCACATAAAAAGGATATTTAAACAAATTCAATTATGAATAATCCTGAAAAAATTGAGAGATACATGAGGAAGTATTAATTATCTTTGTAAATTGGGGTACAGAAATAATGAATTTTAGAATACTTTTATTTTCAAACCTGTAATTTATTGTACAAATTGGATATTTCATTATGTGAATATACTCATTACAGAATTAAAAAATTTCTAATAAATATTGATAAAATTGGAAAGTTATTTGTCCAAGAATGAAAAGAAAGCAAACATACTTCAATCAAGTATTTTTACTGACAGTAACCCTATAGGACAGAATAGAACTGCCCCATGGGATTTCCAAGGCTCTAAGCTCTACACTTGACTGCTAACCAGGAGTCTGGCGGTTCAAACCCCCCAGCCACTCCTTTGAAGGAAGATGGGGCAATCTACTTCCGTAGTCACACTGCCTTGGAAACCCAAGGTGGGGTATCTATGAGTCGGGTCTGACTGGAGGCACAAAGCAACAACAAGCCCTACAGAAACAGACTGCCTCATCTTTCTTCTGTGGAGTGACTGGTCAGTTAAATCTCTGAACTTTTAATTAGCAGCCAAATTCCTTAACTACTGAGGCACGGAAGCTCTTTCAATTGAAAATGTTGTTGTTGTTGTTGCTTTGTGCCGTCGAGTCTGACCCGACTTATAGCGACCCCTCCTTGGGTTTCCAAGGCAATATCATTTCGGAAGTAGATTGCCCCATCTTCCTTCCGAGGAGTGGCTGGTGGGTTTGAACCGCCAGCCTTCTGGTTAGCAGTCAAGTGCCTTAGGCACTATGCTATCAGGGCTCCCTTATTTGAAAATAGTTATCAGTAATTATGAAAATAATTTCATTTTTTGCCTTAGTAATCCCTTGGAAATTTACTTGCTGAACTAACTAAAAATGAAGACTACGTATGAGAAAAGGTTCATTCAAAAGCTATTTATGGTAGTGAAAGATTGAAAACAACATAAAGGAATAAAAAAAAGTTTTAAAAATACATTATGATTTTGATAAATTAATTTACAAGTGGTAAAAAAATCCATGATAGATATTTATATGGGAAAAATCATCTGCCAATGCAGAATGAAAACCAGAATAAGTGAAGTGTTGCAAAATTATTGCAGTTCTGTAACTATGTATGTGTGCTGCTAGGTGCCCTCCAGTCAGTTTTGACTCATAGTGACCCCATGTATAACAGGATGAAACACTGCCCAGTCCAATGCCATCCTCACAATCCTCGCTGTGCTTGAGCCCATTGCTACACACATTGTGTCAACCTACCTCTTTAAGAGTCTTCCTGCTCTTCACTCACTCTTTTCTTTACCCATCATGACATCCTTCTCCAAGGACTGGGGTCTTCTTGACAACATGACCACAGTATGAGAAACAATGTCTGGGCATTCTCACTTCTAAGCATTCCAGCTGTACTTCCCCCAAGAAATATTTGTTCATTCCCCTAGCAGTCCACATAGTACACACAATATTCTTCACCAACATCATGATTCCAATGCATTCAATTCTTCTGCTGTCTCCTTTATTCGTTGTCCAGCTCTCACATGCATATAAAGGTACTGAAAATACCATGGCTTAGATCAGGTGCACCTTAGTCTTCAAAGTGATATCTGTGTTTTTAAACTCTTTGAAGAGGTCTTTTGCAGCAGATTTGCCCAATGCAATATGTCATTTGGTAGGACAGTGGGGAAAATATCTGCATGGTGAAATTATGAAATACATTTTTTTAAAATGATGTTTCAAGGTAAATACAAATTGGCAGGAAAAAAAAAATTTGGAAAGATATCTTTAGAAGAGTCATATCGAGTAATGATATTATTCAGGTTTGGGAATCTAAGTAGTAATATAACAGCCTGAATCTACAGAATAACTCAGTATCATGTATCTAACATGGGGAATGGATGCTTTCACGTACATAGTAATTCTGCTCAATGATGCCAGTCTCAATAGTTTATTCAGATACCTCATGTGCCCTAACAATGAAGGTAAAACCAAGAGTCACAAGTTGGAGATATAATTTCTTCTTGCTACTCTACCAAGACACTGAAAAATGGTTAGGAAAAATTGGCACAAATTTGTGTCCAAATTAAGGAACATTTTTTTTCAATAGGGACTCTCCAAATTAATATTTGAGTTATATAGTAATATTGTATTTCAGATAATGAGATACTTATCTCTGTGTATTTCTTATATGTTTGCATTAAAAAAAAATTAA